GGGAAACAGAGAGAAAAATGGGAGTGCCCTTTGCTCTGGCTCCCCCACAAGTCCTCAGTTTGGAGCAGAAGGGTTTGGTTGATCACAGTCGGGCCCACAGAACTGCCCTTCTCCTGGGACCCTGGCCGGCCCCCTCTTTCTTGGCTGTGCATGGAGGTTGTCACTTGGGGAACCCGACAAAAATCAATCTCAGGGTCCAGCCGCCAGGATGGTGACCTTTGTTCTGCGTGTGGAGCCGGTGAGCCCAATGGGCAGCCAGTGTGAGAACCCCTGAGGTCCCGCGGCTGGGCAGGGCTGGACGCCTCCTCCAGGCAGCCCCCAGCACTGTAGCTGCAGTGGCCGTGTTCACGCGTCAGGGTCCCGCAGGGGTTTGGAGATTCCGCTGCAGAGACGGAAGGGGACGGCCTCATATCCTGCCCCTTCACACAGGGCATGAGCATCTGCGAGGCCTGGCTCTTCCAGCAGAGAGCCTTCCTTCCTCCACCTGGCCAAGGGAAGTGAGGTGAGGAGCCCACTCCCCTTCCAGACCTCATGGCAAGGGATGCGAAGGATTTGGGACCACAGCCAGGTGGAGGGACTGGCGCTGGCTCTGAGAATGGCTGCCCATGCACCAGGGTCTGGTCTTAGGCTCCCACTGCCCCCGGCCATCTGGCTGCCTGCTCCAGGTGTCCTCCAGGTGTGGCTCTTCCTGGGAGGGTCGAGGTCCCTCCACCTCACCTGCAGTTTGGGGGTATTGTCAATATACACGTATGTTTTAACAGGAATGGGGTTCTGGGAAGAATGTGTGTATATGTGCATGCATGCAGGTGTGTGTGTGCATATGTAGGCATGCATGTGTGCATGTGTATGCAACACACAAATGTGTGTATTTGTGTATACACGTACACACATGCACGCACACATGTGAATGTGTATGCATACGTACACGTGTGCACACGTGCATGCCTACACGTGGGCGTGCCCACACTTGTGCATGCAGGTATGTGCATGCACATGCACACCACACACACGAACACGTGCATGTGCACATACATGTACATTTGTGTACACATCTATGTGCACATACATGCACACACAGCCATATGTGCACGTTTGTATGTGCATTCGTTTGTGCACATACATGTAAGCACATATGCGTGCGTCCACATGTTGCACACGTGCATGTCTGTGTACAGCTCTGTGCATATGCACTTTTTGTGCGTGCACATGTGTGCATGTGTGCGTTTCATTCAGCACCAGGGTTAAGTTTGAGTGTGTCATCTTCACAGTCTTAGAATTTATGAATACCTGCTGAAGAAAACCACCAGAGCTTAAGGAACAAAATGATGTTTTTATTAAAAATTGTACCCATAGCACCTCTCTGTCTTCCTACAGGTTGCTTTGATTTTGCAATGAGCTCCGGTTTCCAGCACAGCTGCGAAAGTGTGCTAGGAAGGAAGCCTCCAGACTGATCTACTGTGGCTTCAGAAACCGTGAGATGGGCAGGGGAAGGCGGCTGGAAGGCGGCTGTGAGCGCTGGCGCTGCAGGGACGCCTGAGCGGAGGGACGGGGCCACAGCTGGATTCGCCGGTTGGTTGCTCGTCGGGAGAACAACTGACCGACCACGCGGCAAACTGCAGACAAACCCGTGGTGCTGCCGGGAGGATCCGGGGTGAGTGGCGTGCGCTTGGTGGAAGGGAGGCGTCAGGGCCAGCGGCAGCCACCCAAGCGCCTCCCATCCTCAGCCAGCCTTTGGTTGCCATGGCATCTAATCCCGAGCGCCCCGAAAGCGTGAGGGGAGAGAGGCGGCACGGAAGGCTGGTGGTTTACTTGGGGAGGCGTTAGCTGTGCCCTCAGTGCTCCCAGGGGAAGCCCGGCTGCCCCCGTAGAGCCATCCCGGTGCCTCCGCTGGGTGCTGGGCAGCACCCTCCCCCCACGGAAAGGGGGCCAGGTCCCCAAGTGACCCCGCTGAGGGCTGCACTGGGGCCGCACACCTGCTGCTCATCAAGGCCACCTCAGTGCACGGGACCGTTGGCCCTGTCTTGGCTGCAGAAATGCTGCCTGCCCCCTTTGCAGAACCGAGCTGAGTCCAGTATCCGTTTGCTGTCTTGTGACTGTGTTCCTGTGAAGTGGACACGTCTCAAGGCCCACACGGCTCCAGGAGGCAGGAATCCAAACACGCGATCTCGGTCCAGCGGTGAGGGGCCTCTCACAGGGTGCGAGCAGACAGACAGCCCGTCAGCCACCAAGCGGCCACCGCAGCATCGTACAAGCAATTCCGTACCAAAAAGAAAAAGTTTACTAAAAACAGAGGGGCTACAGGCAATGCAGCGAGCCTAAAAATCCCATCATGTCGTCAATGCCGAAACCCAGAAGGAAAAGCAAACCTCTAACCTCCAACCAGACCGTCCCCAAACTACGACGTCTCACACATGTTCCCCTCATTTAAAGCAACGTCCGGTATGGCTTAAGAGAGTGGGCAGAGGGCGCAGAGGCTGTTTGTCCGTGTTCTCCACTATGGTCTGTCTTCGAGGAGATCCCAGCGGACCCAGGTTCCAGTCCACTTTGCCATCGTGTGGCCACAGAGGAGGGCAGCAGGCTCCTTCAGCTGAGGCAGGTCCTGTCCTGTGGTCAGCAGGTGCAAAAGGGGCTTTGGACAGAGCGTCTAGGATTTTTGGTTTCGAGTATCTCCCCCTCGCTCAGAAAAAGAAGGAAGGAATAGAAAAAAGATGGGGGTGTGGAGCAGCTGGGGCGGGAGTGGGGGAAGGGAAGGGAAGCTTTATACACCCTCCAATTCGGGAAAAACTGGAGTTTTTCACCCAACACAAAACTCTCCTTGTCTCCTGGGGCTGCACCCAGTGGCCTCGGGAGCAGAGTGGACGCCACATGCCGTACACCCTCAGGGCACTGGCCAGTCATCTGAGTGGACAACATCCAACTGCCCTGTCCCCCGCCTGTGGTTGAGGCGGGATGTGGGGCCTCACTGTGACTTGGCGGTGGCCCAGGCACACACCCTGGTCAGGACCGGCAGCCAGTTCCGTCTAGAACCGGGCCCGGATGGGAGCCTGACCGACCAGCCTGTACCTCAGCCATCTCAGACCTGCTGCAGAATCAGTGTGGTGGGCCGAGACCTGCTCCTGTCTTGATTTTGCATTCTTTCCAAAGCAGGTCATAGTATTTAATTTAGCTACAAGCCAAACCACATGCTTTTCCAGAAAAGCGGTTAAGGCTAAAAGCAGGCCTTGATGAACAGGGAGTGGACAGACAGCAGGGCCGGGATCGGGAAGCAGGGGGACGGGCGGGAAGAGCAGAGGGGTGGGAGCCGTGCTCAGAGGACAGGGCGCCCGTGTGCACAGGGAGGGCCTGCGAGGTGCACGGGGTCATGTGCCACCTTGATTTTTTTGAGCCATTCTGCTTTGCGGGGAGACACCGTGGCATTTTGTCTTTTTGCACGCACAAAGCGCAACAATGAACAGAAAGGCACCTGGAGACAGCAAAGACTCGTTCATTTCACATGGCATCTCTTAAAAAAAGATAAAAAGATTTTAAAAATACTCTGGTTAAGTGTGCATCACTGGGATTCTGGGCACACCATCTTGCTCACTCTAGCTTGGCGCAGCTGGCATGTGTGGTGGGTTCTCGTGGCGGGCCTAGCTTGCTAAGTACCAGCCGGTGGCTCCCAGCTTTGAGGTGGGCTTCCTGCTCTGGGACTACAAGGTTTGTCGTTGGGTGCCATTCAGTGGACCCCAATGCCTAGCAACCCTCCGTGACAGAGCACATCTACCCCATAAGGTTTCCTAGGCGGTCATCTTCACCAGGGAGTCCTAATACAATAGTTAAGTGCTTGCTAACAGAGATGGGTGGTTGGAACTCCCCAGGCGCTCCACAGGACAAAGACGAGGTGTTTTGCTCCCATAAAGACTGACAGCCTTGGAGACCCTGTGGGCAGTTCCACTCTGTCCTCTAGGGGCGCTGTGGGTCAGAATGGACTCCAGGCAGTGGGTGTGGTTTGGGCTTTGCTTCTGTGAAGATTGACAGCCTTGGAGAGACCCTGTGGGCAGTTCCACTCTGTCCTCTAGGGGCGCTGTAAGCAGGCATCAGCCAGTGGGCAGTGGGTTTAATTTTCGTGGAAGCAGATCGCTGGTGGGTTTGAAAGACCAACCTTTCACTTAGCAGCTAAGCCCCTAACTGCCTGCACCACCCGAGCTCCTTTCTACCAGGTTTAATGTGTGGTGGTGGTGGTGGTTGTTACCTGCCGTGAGTCAGACCGACTCATAGCGACCCCTCCTTGGGTTTCCGAGGCAGTATCACTACGGAAGTAGGTTGCAGAACCTTCCTTCCGAGGAGTGGCTGGTGGGTTTGAACCGCCAGTGTTCTGGTTAGCAGTCAGGTGTGTGGAGGGCGCCCCAAATATTTTATCACTGGACAGTCAAAGAAAGCCACAGTGGGGTCTCCACAAGACCCACGGGATGCCCTAATCCTAGACTCACTGCCCGGCTGCCCTGCCACTGCCCAGTGAGGGTACTTTAGAAATGCCAGGGGTGTGATCAGAAGCAGTGCGCTGAGGTGAAGCGTCTGTGATGGGGACCCCAGGAGTGAGCTCTAGCTGGAGGTGTGGAGAGATGGACAAGAACGAGATCGGGCTGAATCCTCGCGAGAGGAGGTAGAGGCGAGGAGGGGTCGGCCAGCAGGCGGCTCCGAGGTTCCCCTGCACCCCCGTCCCCCCCTCCGGCCTCCTTGGTGGTCTCGGGAGGGGAGCCCCGGGGCCCCCGAAGTCACAGAGGTGCCGTTGCACCAGGGAGGTACACCTTCTCGTAAAAAGAAAAGAAAAAGGAACGCAGTCTGCTCCCTGCAGCGATGTTACAAAAAGCCATTAAAAAAAAACCGTCCTAATGGAAACCCAGGGTTCACAGGTCCTGGAAAGCATCACTTATCGCGCGCGCTTCCAACAGAAACTTCCGCTCAGGGGATCCCAGTTGATTGTCTTAACAGAAACAGGCGTGCGCGCGCCCGGGCCGCGCTCACACGAACGAGGAGAAGCCGGTGAGGGGCGCTCGTGCGCCGGGCTGCGGGCCCGCGGGCGCGTACACGCCGCCCGAGCTCTGCGTGGTGACCACGGGCTGCAGGCGCGGCGCAGGCGCGCCCACCGCGCACTCCTCGTAGCGGTAGGGCGCCGGGGCCTTGGCGCCCGGGGGCCGGCGCTTCCACGAGTTGTAGTAGGTGGGGTCGCTCATGTAGTGGTTGACGAAGGAGTGCCTGGGCGGCCCGTCCTCGTAGTCCGAGTCGGTGGCCTGCGGGGAGAGGGGCAGTGGTCACTGGCGCCGAGCGGGCAGGTGCGTGGCCCCTGCGTCCGCACACGAGCAAGGGGAGAGGGTGCCCGCTCTCTGGGCGGCCCCAGCCCCCGGCCCAGCGCTGCGGGGCTCGGCCTTGGATCACGCTGGTCCCGGAGCAGCGTGGGGCCTGCCACAGGGCCGGTCCCCACAGCTGTCCTGCCCCGTGACACGTCTGTGTGGCATCTGGTTCGAGGGTCCATGGGGACACGCTGTCCTTCCAGTGCATAGACGAGCATCGGCCGGGGAAAGGCCCGGTCTCAGCTCTGCTTGCCTCAGGGAAGTGAGGGCGAGTGTGGAGATGGGGAGGGTCCCCCATGCCGCCCCCAGATCACCACGTGGCCTCACCCCGGGGGACCAAGGACAACCACTGCACCCCCTGCACCTGCCCCACCTCCGGTCCCCACGGCTCGCCCGGGGCCGAAGCCCTGGTGGCCCAGCGGGGCAGCCATGCAGTTAGACAACCGGCCCTTCAGGCTTTCCTTTGTTTCTTTTCATAAAATAAATCAGCACCATCCAGTAAGAAGTTAGTCCACACCTTTTCTCTGCTAATTATCTTAAAGCAATGTTGCGGTCTTTGGGACTGGCTTCCGCCCTTTGAAGGTTAACCAAGTCACACGGGGCAGAGCTCAGTGTTGCCGCCCGCTGGGCAGCCTCGGAAGCCCTGGGACCCGCAGCCTCAGCACGTAGGGGGCTTAGCCGGCTCCGGTGGTGTCCTTGACATCGGCCGCCCGGCCTCACCCCCGTCTACTTGTCACCCCAGCACACTTCCTGTAAGCCACCTGGTGGTGCGTGTGCTGGGGTGTGTGGCAGGTGCCGTGGGGTGACTCGGAGGCCCTCAGTGGTGCGAATGGTCAACATGCTCGGCTGTAAGGCTACAGGTTCGAGTCCAGCCAGGGGCCTGGAAGAAAAGCTGGAGGGCTGCTTCTGAAAACCCTGCGGGGCCCAGTCCCGATGAGACACACCCGGGGTCGCCAGGAGTCGAGGCGACTGCACGGCACCTGCTGTGGTTTACAGCTAAATGGTGCTCCCCAGAGAGACATGTGGATCCCTAACCCCCGGCACCTGTGGCCGTGACCGTGTTTGGAAACGGGGTCTTCGAAGGTGTTGTCAGTGAGGTTAACATTAGGTCATGCGGAGAGAGGGGGACCCTGACCCCACTGTGTGGTGTTCTTAGGAAAAGAGGAGTCGAGACGCAGAGGAAGACAGGAGGAAGAGACACAGACAGACAGACAAACAGACAGAAGCCACCATGTGAAGGCAGAGGGAGGGGGTGATGCTACACGCACAAGCCAGGGGACGCCAGGGGACGCCAGGGGACGCCAGGGGTCCCTGGAGGTGGCAGGGGCAGGACAGGATCTTTGGAGAGAGCCTGGCCCTGCTGACACTCTGTATCCAGACCCCAGCCTCCAGGACTGAGACGACATTTCTCTCGTTACAAAGCACCAGCTCGTGGGCAGCCTTGGCAGCTACGGGGGACCTGTCCCGGTGCCAGGTCACTCCTAGGCTTTTCCTGGTCCACTGGGATGACGATGCCATTCTCTGCCGGGGACACAGCCGTGTGGGTGGTCACGGAGCGCCGCCTGTCCAGCTGTGGACACAGCCGTGTGTGTTGTTACTGTCCTCCGCTCCGCCCAGCTGCAGGTGGTCAGCCTGCGTGATGTGGCCCGAAACCTGGCAAGCGCTGAGCTCTTCAATCCGTCTGACCTCGAGGGTGTCCACCAGAAGATCCGAGGCGGTGTTTGCGGCCATTGTGTAAGACTGACTCCTCGCCTGTTTGCTAGAGGCCTTGGGGTGGTTCACAAGGTGAGGCTCAGGGGGCACGGGGCCGGAAGGAAAGACAACCGAGACTCCGTGAGCAAAGCTTAAGGACGCTCTGTGCCAGCGCCCTGAAGTGGGCTTTCCTTCAGACCCTGGATTCAGTCCATGTTTCCCTGGGAGAGAAGGAACACATGTGGAGATTGCCGGAGGCATCGTGGGTCATGCCATCGAAGACACGGAACTGGACTGACCCGGCCTCAGGGTCACACTGGGCTCAGGGCTCGTTATATCTGAAGATGAGGACAACGCTCTGGACGTTTGTCCTTGCGGACTGTGTCCTCAGGTGCCCAGGGTCTCCTTGCTGACTGCGAGTTGCTGCTGTTGGTGCTGGGCTGTAGAGTGAATTCCAAGTCCTGGTGACCCCAGGTGACAGAGTAAACCCCCATAGCGTTTTCTTGGCTGTAGTCTTTAAGGAAGCAGACGGTCAGGTCTTTCTCCCACAGAGCCACTGGGTGGGTCTGAACCAACAACCTCCTGGCTAGCAGCCAAGCGCTTACCCATCGTGCAACCAGGGCTCCTCACCACACGGGACAGCGTCATGGAACGTGCAAAGTAGCAACCACGCTGAACCCGCTCATACCGTATCCGAAGAAGCTGAGGCGTCAGCAGTGAGGTGACCTTCTCAGGGTGATGCTGGCTGGGGACAGAGTGTGGCCAGGCCCAGACCGCTGGCCCGGCCAAAGGTGGCAGAAATAAAGCCCTCCTGGAGTCCCCGGATGGTGCACACGGTTACATGCTCAGGTGCTGATCCAAAGACTGGGGTTTGAGCCCACCCAGAGGCCCCTCCCAAAGGATCCCAGCCTCTGTGAACCCCGTGCAGCGCAGTTCGTGTGGCCGTGAGTCAGCGTGGACTTGACAGCAGCTGGGAGTAACATGAGGACACCTCCAGGCACAGGTTTATAAAAGGTGGAGGATGACTGTCGATGGCCGGGTCTCACGTGAAGTCCTGTGAATGGTGGACAGATGGTCAACCCAGTCGGCCATTTCTGCCCTCGGTTCCTCCTCTTTCAGCCTGGCTGGCAGCCGGCTGGTGGCAGCTTCTGCATGTCGCCATCCTCTTTGTCTCCTGGCCTCCCCCACCTCCCTCTGTAGTCGTTTAGGTTGTAAAGACGGGCTCAGAGTGGCAGGTGGGACCTAGGGGCCGTCTGGCAGGGACCTCTGAGTTATGGCAGGAGTCGGCATGTCTAAGAGAATGGACTCTGCCCAGCGCTGCTTAGAGAAGCAATGTGTCCCTGTCCTGCACACGCATGTGCTTATGTGTAATAAGTTTCACACAAGGCTTCTCGGTAGCTGTGTATCTTCATGTACTTTCTCAGCCAGAGACCTCAACGTCCTGCAGACTCAAAGCAGGATCCGTGCTAGATCTGGGTGCAAATGGTTAACACACTCGGCCAGTAACTGAAGGGTTGGAGGCTCGGTCCAGCCAGAAGGGCCTCAGAAGAAAGGCCTGGTGAGCTTGCGTTCAAACAATCTCTATTGAGAAGCCTGTAGAGCCCCATTCTCGGACCCATGTGGGACCACCGTGAGTCACAGTGGAGTGATGGCACTGGCTTGCTTTGTTTGGCTTCAGAAGGGGTCTTGGCAGGAGACAAATTGGGAGGGTGTTGTCCAGCTCACAATGACATCCACTGTTCATGTCTTACTCCTTCAAAGTAAGTAATCCTTCCCTGCCAGGTAATCTGAATGGCTCCGCTCTTGGAAAAGTGCGATTGGTTAATGGGTGGGCATGTGACTGAAGCTGAGCCAATTGGAATCTCTTCTGGGACTTTACACCCTGCTGCTGGATGAGACAAGTTCTTCCTGGATAAGAACAAACTGGGGGGCTGTGAGCTTCAAGTGGCCAGGCCACAGATCCAGGCAAGAGGTTCAGAAAGCCTGTGTTTGGCAAGAGCACAGCCACTGTGCAGAAAGAGCAGAGGCCAGAAACCGTGAGAGGCTCTTTATGCTTCTTGCTGTTTGTGTAGGATACAGAAGTGAGAGCCCAGCCAGGGCCACATGGTAAGCTCGTGCCAGGCAGGCCTGAAGCTAAAGCCATGCCTCCTGGCCCTGTTCCGCTGAGAAAGCTCGGTGTCCAGATGCTGTCCCCCCTGTGCGTGGTCTTTATGTGATGGTACTGGTTTTCAATAGGATATGGGATAGGGAGTGTGGTAGTTATGCTTGTGTGTCGACTTGGCTGGGCCTGGTTGAGTGGCTGGGTAGCTGGTGGTAGTTATTCCCCATGATGAGACTGGCAATCAGCTCCATGGTGGGATCTACCACAAGCAGCTGAGTAGCTGCTTTTGGGAATGTGGTCTGCTTCCTGTATTTAAGGAGAAGCCCTGGGAATGGTCTCTAGCCTGTGGCACGCTTGGACCCTGCATGTAGCTGTGTCGTTGCTCAGTAGCCTGCTATGCTCTGCGGACCTTGGGACTTACAATGGACTTAAGTCAATGGCCTGCCATGTGGTTTGGTAATATTGGGACTGTGCCTTTTTCCTTGTCAACGTTGGGGCTTCTCAGCCTCAGTAGCCAGTGGCTGTCTGAGTGAGGAAACGCCCCTAGCTTCAGTGGGCCGGGAGCAGGAGGCAGAGCTGGACCCCAGGGTGGAGGGGCTTTCACCCAGCCCCTAGAGCCTGGCACTTTGAACTTGGACTTAAAGCCTCCAAATTGTGAGAGAATAAACTCCTGTTTGTTAAGGCCGTCCCATCTGTGGTATATTCTCGTCAGAGTGGCACTAGGGAACCAGAACAAGGAGTTACAGTTATTGATAAAAAGGAAATGCTACAGGGTCTTTATTATTTAAGTTTCCTGTGTGGGATGACTCGACAGCAGTGTGTGTGTGTGTGTGTGTGTGTGTGTGTGTGTGTGATGAGGTAGCAATGGGTGCTGGTTTCCCAGGAAACCATGGAACGACAGCCTGTGATTGGATGAGGCGCCAGGCTGACTCGGAGAGTTTGGAAAGGTGAACAGATGCCTGGCAAGCAGATGACAGAGAATCTTAACGCAGTTGCTGTTACATTGGAAAGACGACAGACGCGGGTCTTATCACGGAGTTTACTAGGTGCAAGGGGGCTGCTCTGAGTCCGAGAAGCAGGGCAGATTTTAGAAACTGTGTCTTTGGATTTGGAAAACCCTTTTTTCAGATGTGGTTTGAGTAGAGGT